AGGGAGAGTGCCACGATGTGCTGTCACTGCTCTCATGTGGTTGACTGAAACCCTTATGGTGTGACATCCTTGGGCTCTGGGTGCTTATGGACATAAGCACTACACTTCCGATTTACCCTGTTTTCCTCAAGGCCATGTGAGGCCCTGATCTGTTGCATGCCACAGTACATATTCTGAAGCAAAGTTTGCTGAACCATTTTAAGTTCCTCAGCATAAAGAGCATACAACTGTATGCAGTCCTACAGCTGTTCTATCCCATCAAAGCAGAGGCATTCCTGTGTACCACACTCTCTGTTATATTTCATGACAAAATTATTTCAAAAATACTTAGAGATCATTTTCTTTTTCTGCTAGTGATATATGTATGCCAGCAAAAGTTCAGAGAGAGGATGGAATACTATTCTTTATATAGTGGTAAAAGATTTTTCAATAATTCTTAAATATTTTCAAAAGCCTCTTAGTAATTTCCTTATTCTGACCCTGCAACTGACTTCACAAAGGACTATGAAAGATGGTCTGGCTGACATACACATATTATACTGTTATACTTATAAATGGTATCACATAAAAGAGCAAATAATTACTGAACATTGGTATCTGACACTATTTGTATGCTTCTAATAGAGCATTCCCTGCACAATGGTGTGTCCATTTTGATGGAGGGGGTCATTCCATCGTGTTAGTAGCATGAAACAATGTGCAAATTCTGAAACTCAGAATATGTGCCATATGCTGTGGGATGTGGCATGCAGGCATATGGGAATGTTTAAGGTTTTAAACCCTATTGGAATACTGCTGGAGGATTACTGAGAGAGAAAGAGCTCACACTTGGTCTTTCGTCCTCTGTGCCGACTACTGGGAACTGTTTTTAACATATGCAGGCTCAGCTGTGCCTGGCTTTGTCCAGAGGGAAAGCTTGTTGAGACAGGCCAGCGCAATGCAGGAAAGCAGGCTGCTAAGAACTCTTTACATGAGAGGGCCCTGATGATCCAGTTTTCTCCCTAATCTTTCCTTTTATGTAGTGTTTCAGATGTATTACAAGCAACCAGTTTTCTTCTGTAGTGAAAATGTAATGATATGTCTACATAAAGCCTCATGTTTTACCTGCATGCATGGTATTATATCTGCTCAGCTGGTGCAAACCAGCATCATAACATGCCATGCAGAAGTGGTTGAGTTAACCCTTTCTCTGTGTGTCACAGAACTAAGTGGAGTGATGCACTGACTGTGATGTTTATTTGGGTATATTTGATCAAAACTGCACTGGGCCACAAAGCTCTTCAAAATGCCCAAGGAAAAAGGAAGTGTCTTTCCCCCATTTCTGTGCTTACCTCAAGTAAGTTGCTCCAGTGTTTCTTTGCAAGGTCTGGTTTCTTCCCCCATGGATCCCTCCTCAGCTGCTGTGTCCATCCATCCTGCCAGGGGCTGTTTATACTTAGCAAGTATAAGTCCCACACTGATAGATTAAACACTGACCTTTTGATGTGTGACTAGGCCAAAGAGTCCTAACTGCAAAAAGTCCATTGTGACATTTTAAAAAGTAAATGTCAAACATGGAACTAATGGAACATACACAGTGTAGAAGACAGAAGATTTAAGGCCTTATATTAATTTATCCAGAATAGGGAATAAGTGGCACTTCAGTGGTACCTATGAGGTACCTAGGCTATTTGAACTCCTACAAAGTAGAAGAACTGCAAAATGAATCTAGCACTAGCAGACTAGTAATGAATATAGTATTATCCAATGATAATACTAAAGCTTTTGTATAAGAAGCCAAATTTAAAGTTCTCATACTGTGTACTTGCCACAGAAATTTTGCAAATATTTCCAACTGCATTAAAACACAATGATTTAGGAGAACAAGAGTACAGCATTGCCCAATTGTGCTATATTTAATAATTTAAATTTTATAATTTAAACCAGAGCACTGTGATTATCCCTTAAGGAACATATGGTGTATTAAGCAAAACCAATTAAAAAACTCTCAGCTAGATTTACAGAATCTCTTTCTTTGTTCTTATCATATAGTCATTAGTATTTCTATTTTCTGGGCATAATTTTAAGGCACTATATATTCTTGAAATAAAATTCTGCAACATGCTGATATTTGTGCAATAATTTGAGAGGCAAACACTTTGCCACTATAGCTTCATATTTATACAATAGATGGGGAAAAGTTAGCAATTAAATTAGCTATCAGTACCATAAAGAAACATTATGTGTGGAGTTCTCTGAGTTTGTGTTTTAAAAATGGGACAAAAAAGCATAATTTTTTTGTACTTTTTGAATCAGCATACACATAATTCTGTTCAAAACCATAGCCTTTTTCTTTTTCTGTCTACTGAATTCTACCTCTCAGCCAGCTGGACTCAGCAATTTAAGATACTCTGTGGTTTCTCAACCTTTTAATATATTTAGATAATTTGAAAATTTCTACAGTGCCCATTTATTCCATCTAAGTGAAATGTGGTGGTGTCTCACAATTCTGAATTATAATATTTAATATTAAATTTCTCTCCTTTTGTTTTCTATAAGCTTCTAGTCCAAATCATACCACTAGTTATGAAATGTAATTTCTTTGAGGCTTATGTAAATACAGGAAAAATTCCTAACTATTTTTGTGTTTACTCACAAGTTTGGTTGATGACTTTCTGCCAAGTCCCATGGTTTTACTACCATTTAACAATAAAACTGCTTTTATCCAAGTATTTTAAAAGCACATTATATTAAGGAAAATCAACCATATGCAGAAAGTTTCTACTGACCTACTTTTTGAGGGCCAATCTAAGAATAAATTAAAAATTTAAATAGTAGTATCACTTACTTGCCTTTACTAGTGAAAAAAAAATATTTACTTACATATCTTTGAACATCAAGATGCACATGTAACTTTAGGAGGTTAAAAGTCACATGATTTCTCATCATTTGGAGATTGACCTTGGAGCTGTCAACAAGCTTTTAAAGCTCCACATTTAATTTTTTTCTACTAGTTCAACTTTGTATTGATTAAAATAATGAAGATGGTTTTATATGAGGAAATCACCAATAACAGTGAACTTAAGAGTAACAAATGAAAGCAAGATTAAATTTTCAAGCAATTGAGGATTTGGCCTATGTCCTATGCAAGTTGTGACACGGGGCTTTCAGTTGTAGGTTTGGGATTCTGTCACAATTGGAGTTGATACCTATATGTTGATTCAGATAAATAAAATTCAGTGAATTAATTAAATAAATAAATTTAAGGATTGAAAGAGCTTGATCTACAATGATGTCCAGTGAAGTGCATGGTAGGAAGAAGAAAAACCCCTCTAGAAAACGTGAAAATATTTCATGAGACCCGCTGTATAAATGGCAACAAGTTCAGACACATTTCCTGTGAGAGTTGTAGTAAATCTTGGATTTGTAGCTTTTCTAACCTCCATGCAGTTTTTCTTTAGATAGTGTTTGGAGGTTAGAATTGCATTGTTGCTATTTTTCCAAAGTCGAAATGTGCAGTTTTAAAAGCCTCTTATTCTTTTATTTATTATATATGCTCTTTCAATTTCATGCAGGGATAATCTTCTCTTTTAAAACTCTGGAACTGAAAGGTACTCAGCTCTTTCTCACCTGAGAAATGTCCTTGATGACTAAATGGAAACTGGGTTGTGTGACTCATGAGAGTCTGTCTTATTAAAGAAAGATTTTTTTTCATAAAGGCATTGTGCTCTTTAAAAAAAAAAAAAAAGTCTTTCTTGTGGTTTGGAAGGTAAGGTTTTTGTGCACCTAAGATGACCAGCAGTAAAGTGGGTGGATAATAAGCATTAACATGTTAGCTAACAATTTCTTCATCACTTTCATTCTTTTCCCCCCATTCCCTTGCTTTTTTGAGCCCCAACCAGCATGAAGTGTGCCACTCTGAATCTTGTATAGCTTCTGATACAGCCATTGATATCAGATGCCTTTTAGACTGTTGGCAATATGCTCTTAGATGGAAACCTGCACAGGAAAAGTTAGGAGTTTGTAGGTTTATGGGTAAAGAAATGACCTGGACGCTCTGAAAACACACTGAGATGTATCAAGATACAATTAATGTTTAGTAAACTTGAGTCATGTTCACACATAGATACCACAGGCAAAAAAAAACTTCAAGTCAATTTAAAGAAGCACAGCAAGTCCTTGTCTATTCTGTTCACATTCCACATTGAAAGTGATCTTACTCGTTACACATTATAAAACTCCATTTAAGACTCATTTTCTAGAAGATGTTTTCTCTTCACAAGTAAGTCTAGGTAGAACATTGACAAATTTTTTATTACATTAATTTTCTTTTAATAGGGCTCTATGTGTTTTTCGAATTAACATATTAAATCTGAAGGAAATGAGGTTCCTTGGGCAGTATCAGTAGTTAGAGGCTTGTTTCTCTGGGCTAATTTTTAAAAAAACCCTTTCAAAGTTCAGTTGCATTAAAGAAAAATGGCTATCAGGCTACATATAACACACATAAAATACAGCAATATTGATTCTCAGGCTTTAATTCTAGGTGGGCCAGCAAAGCATTTTGTTTTTATGTGTTTTTTTCAGAAGAAAATGCTTTATCAATAGAGTTTTGCTAAGATTGTAAGAATAAATCTATTTTATGAGGAATCTAAAGTAATAGGATTAGAATTTGTGCCACATAATCCTATATGGCTTTTTTTCTTTAAAAGCCTGTTTGTTTTAACTAGTTCTAATTGAATGACTTTAGGGTGCTCAAAAGCCTCCATGAGGCCAATGTGTTAAGTGGGATGCATTTCCCAAGTAACAAATTTAATGATCTGCTTTGAGAGAGAGGCTAAGAGATAATCAATAGTCCCTTAAGGATGTGTTCAAGCTTAATGGATTTAACCAAGCAGATTATCCTAGTATTTATAGTTGCTCTTCACCAGATGGTTTAAAAAAGTATGTTTTTAATGAAAGAAAACAAAGAACTCACCTAATCTTATTTATGAAGTTACTAATGATAGCGGTTTTAGTCCTCTCAAATTAATGCATCTTTTAACATTTTTGTTGTGAATTTCATCATGTGGTTTTAAATAATTGAGGGAGTAACTTAATCTTTTTGGGAATGGAGCAGTATGCCCTGACCCTGACCTCACATGTGGTGAGGCTGGTGTCATCAGGGAAAAAAACCTTGTCAGTTGTTCCTCTTGATAATAGTGGTAGGCATTGCTTAATGATTCCATGTATTTTTTTCCACTGTGCTTTCTCAAAAATCAAGTGTTATTTTCTAGGGGGTTTCATTCATTTTTTCTCTGAAAGGCACTTTGCTGGCAGACATTGAACTCTGAAGAGTGTCTGAGCACAATTGCTTCTACAAAAATCCTCAGACACATTCAGCAGTTCTAATAGTATATTCATTACTGGTTTATTTTTCTTTCCAATTAAATTTTTTGCCTTGACTGCTGTCCATCCTCTGAAGTAAGCAATGTCTTTGAATGTGCTGAATGAAGATTGGTTTCTATGAACATACCAGTAAGAAGACACCAAGAATACAATTTATTTGGTATGATACAATTATTGCTGAAAATTAAGTACAGAATATATGGTAATATTCTAGAGAGAGGACAATATGGCACCATAATTCAGCAACAGTCATTTGTGTCCAAGTGATTACACTTCAACTCTACCCTGTGACAATCCATAGGTAAAATACCTGTCAAAATATTTCTGCAAAGGCATTTCCAACCCCCACAACCCTCATATCATGCCATATTGTCTTCAGGAACAATGTGCTTTTTCTATAACAAGCTCAGTACTAATTAATTTTCATTCACTGGATTGCCCCATCAATGTCAGAACGCCAGATGGGACTGCTGGCTTGTGAGCCATAGAGAAATCCTCTAGGATGGTTTCACTAGGACAGAGAAATATGTCAGCAGACATGACTGGACTTACTATTTTCTTGTCCTGTGTTTTCCCCATAATCTCTGCTCCCTTTGTATAGTCTTGGGCTGGAGAACCAACATTGTTGCATCTGATGCTGGGGAAGAAAAAGAGAAAAAACCTACACTAATGTTGCTAAAAAAAGTATTTACCATGGGCTCACCAGTGAATTGGACAGGTTTCATTTCCTAGTAGGTATTTTAGACTTTGCCATGTTAGAATAAGAGTGCAGAAAGTAAGAGAAGGAAACCTGTGATGATGCGTAAGCTTGTAAACATCTGACCTAGTTCAACAACTTGGCCAAAGCACTCTTAATGAATACTTTGTATTGATCCAAATAAGGGTTTTAAGGTTTGCTAGGAATTACACAGATGAGGTTTGATGCCATATGGCTTACCTTCTGTGCCAGTGACAAGGGGGAAGGTTTCTTTTACAGCTGAATGTTATCATCCTTTTTTTCCCCTAAAATGTGTAAAACTCAAGGCACACCCTGACAGCTGTTATGACCTGCCACTGAGGTAGTGTAACTGAGGTTTCTGTCAATAGATCCCTTGGGACAGATTAGAGTAAAATGTCACTGAACGACATGTGTGTATGTGTGTGTGTGTGTGTGTGTGTGAGCTGGGAATGCTCAAGTACCTCCCCTGGGGGGAGTTTTAGACTGATGCAACACTGTGGATTATGCACAGTCCTCAGGTGGAAGGCCGCAGAAGTGAATCTGGGGGTGTTCTGGGGCATCTTTGATGGTTCATGACCATCAGAGACATGACAGTTGTTTCTCACACCTGTGTAATTGTGCCAGTTGTACTTTATCAGAAGGGATGAACACTGCCAAGATTACATGTGAATGTTGCAATATCTCCCCTGGTGAGGTAAGAGGGATAGTTTAACACCTGGGCCTTATCGGGAAGGAGGACATTGGTATGTTAAAAAAGCATTATCCCACCTCGAAGGATCTGCTTCTCATCAGCCTTTTCACTTATCTGGCTCACAACCCAGATTGTTGCTAAACAAAGGTTGGTTTGTTGTGGTCATCCTCCGGTGGGTGCTCCCCTCCTCTTGCCCCTGGGCTGTTCCTCTGCAGGTCAGAGATGTGACACACCACACCCAATGGCATGAGGAGCTGTACCAGCTATTCTGCATTTCCAGATAACATTCCTGAAATCTGGTCCCTATAGGCCATCTCTAAACTTACAGCATGTTTCTTCATATTCCTTGAGCTTCCTTTAGAAGCACTAATTCAGTCACTGTTTGGCAATGGCTGTGGGCCTAGGTTTAAAGTGCAATCATTAAAACTACTGGATTTTTTACAGTAACAGGAATGACCAGTTTTGACAGTCCAAGAAGAATGGTATAGGAATCATGTAGAGACCACTTTTCTCTGAGATGCCTGTTGGTTACAGCAGAGCCATCCTTGATCCATGTGCATACTCTGCTTGCAAAACATTTCTCTGCAGACAGAAAACTTAGGTTGTAGTTGACGTACCAGCACAACATCTTGCACTCTTGATTCTCAGCTGTAAAGATTTGGCACTAAACAGTGGATGCTATTTTACTGGGGGAAGAAATAGATGCAGGCTTGATATGTCTTTATAAATCCTGAAAACAGAAATGTTATTGGGTATTCTGAAAATACCCAAGATGGCCTGTCTTATTTAGGAATGGGAAGTTAAGGCTTAGTAGATTGTGCACCAGGCAAATGAGCTAAACACTTCAGTAGTTGTGGATTTCATGGCTCCAATTTTCCTGTTTCTGCTTGCCATATTGTTTCATTCTAAGGTTGATCCTCAGTGAAAAGATTTTCCTTTCAGAAATATTTTTCTGTTCTGTACAAAGCCTGTTAATTTCAGGAAACTATTTCAAGAGACTATTTTAGAGCTGACCATAAATTCAAAAACAAAAGTCTAGGTTGGAGTAAACACTTTAGTCCAAACCCCTGCTCAGATCTGGACTATGATGAAACTGTGGAAGGCACCACAGATGACAACTTTCACCAACTGAAATCAGTCTGTCTGATACATCAGTTTTGGGACAGGGCTCTAGGTTGTTCTGATTTGTTCTTTCATTTTGGAGTTTAAACACATTGGAGACGAAGTGAACCCAGCACTTGGGAAATGTGATTTTAAAATTGCAACATGGTCAAATAGATTTTAGGCTACTTAAAATGTTTGAAACTGTTACATTTAACAAATATGACCCATTTTTTTCAAAATAGCTTGTATTTATTTTAATAAACAGTTATTAATCTTGTTAAAAATTGTAAGTGCCTCTTGTTAAAAAATGTTCACTCAAGTTATCTTGCAAATGTCATCCTGAATAATTTTATTTGATGGAGATCATAATCTATATTTCTTACCCGCAGAATTACTGTGTGTCTTTTGAAGTAGTCTCATTATTTTATATTCTAGGAATACTTCATGCAGTTTGCTGTAGATAAGAGTCATTATAGAAAGATTTATGTGAGTGCAACTCCCTCAAAAATTAGATAAGCTGCATTCCATCTCTTTTACTTGACAAAATCTGGATGCCTGGTTTTCAGCAAGACAAAGACCCACCATTTTTCCTGTCTGATTTCTGAGGTACAGAGCTGATGAAGTCCCAGAATCCTGAAGCTGCAAATGACACAGTAAATGAAGTTTTCAGGTAATATTAAATTCTCTGCATGACAGTGTTTCATTCATAGTGCTACCTTTTCAGACTTTTTTGAGCAGGGAGCACATATTGCCAACCATGTGTGCAATGTAATGGGGGGTTTAAGTGTAGAGATCCTGGTTCTGCAATGATTTCTCTACAGGTAGATGACCACAGAGAGTGCCAGTGACATATCTAAGGCTGTCTATGCAGGGAATCCATCTTTGTGAGCTTGTTGCAGGAATGTGGCCATGTGATGATGTAAAATCATTTGTAGAACTCCCACTGATGTTCATGTCAGATTTAGGGCAATGAGCCGTATGGTCCCCAAATGCAAAACTTTGAAGTTAAGTCAAAATAGTTGCAGTTTATTCCTTGCCACTGACTTTACATTTTATTCATTAAAAAAGAACTTAAGTGCCATCTTACCATGGTACTTGCAACCAGTACTATAAAAAATTATGTTTATTCTGCTACTATTACTTTTTCACATAAGTTCTAAATTTTGATTTCTGTTCTCTGCCAAGAGCTTTACTCCCTTGGGAAACACTAGTCAAATGTAAATGATCTACCAGAGTTATCATCTTTCTTAACAGAAGTGCAGTGTGTACTTATGAATAGTGTATCAGAGAGCTGGGACAATGCCTTTATTTAATTATTAGAGTGATTAAAACCTGACTGACATTCTTGATTGATTTTCTACTCCTCTGCACATATAAAAGCAGAGTGAAAAGTAAGGTCACGATATTCATCAGTATCTGTGATATTCAGCATTAATACTTGCAAGAATTACTTTGATATCAGCTTAATAAGCTTTCCAGACATACCTATAGACCATCATATATTTTATCAAAAAGCAATTGCCAGCATAATGGTAAATGCTTCTTCTTCATTGTCAGAAGCTTTGAAGACTGTGTATCACTTTTAACAACATATCAGCAATTTTAGAAAAGCCAAGTAACTGATTCCATTCATTGGTTCTCATTCCATAAGGCTTTCTGAGCAACCACTGTGAAGTATATATGCAATATGAGGAGTTTATTATTGCATATGTATCTTCTATGGAGAGCAGTCTCTTACTGAATGTCACAATTTTGCATCATGAGGTTAGAACCTCTTACCTAAAATTTTTACTACTTACTGCTGCTAATTTCAGGCATTTGCTCATCTCTATTATTGTCCATAAAACCTTTTCCAAAAAAGTGACATAAAACCTTTTCTGTGACATAAAACCTTTTCCAAAATATCGGTATTGACACATCTGAGGGACTGGATGCCATCCAGAGGGACCTGAACAAGCTTGAGAAGGGGGCCCATGAATCTCTTGTGAGATTCAACAACTCCCAGTATCAACACAGGCTGGAGAATGAAGGGATTGAGAGCAGGGTGTTCTGGTGATCAGAGGTGGGACATGACCCAGCCATGTGCACTCACGGCCCCAAAGGCCAAACAAATCCTGGGGCTGCATCCAAAGCAGCGTGGCCAGCAGGGCAAGGGAGGGGATTCTGCCCCTCTGCTTTGCTCTGCTCTGCTCTGGTGAGACCCCAGCCTCAGGGCTGAATCAGCTCTGGGGTCCCAGCACAGGAAGGACAGGGACTTGTTGTAATGGGTCCAAGACAGGGCCACAGAAATTACCAGAGGACTGGAACATATCTCCTGTGGGGAAAGGCTGAAAGAGTTGGGGTTGTTCAGCCTGTAGAAGAGAAGACTCTGGGGTGTCCTTATTGCAGCCTTTCAGTGGTTAAATGGGTCCTACAAGAAAGATGGGGATAAGCTTTTTAGCAGGGCCTTTTGCAATAGGACAAGGAGTAATGGCTTTAAACGAAAGAAGGCAGATTAAATACTGCACAGGTTTCCCATAGAGGTGGTGAATGCCCCCCCCCCATTCCTGGAAACATTCAAGGTCACTTTGGATGGGGCTCTGAGCAACCTGATGGAGTTGAAAATGTCCTTTCAGGATCCCTTCCAACAGACATGATTCTATAATTCTAGGATAATCTTAACATCAAATAATTATAATATCATAAAGTCATAGTTTATATGTCCTCTCTGTGCAACTTAGATTAGGTGCAGGATTGGAACTTCTGTCCCTTGAAAGAATCTGTGATTAGGATATCATTCCCTTGAAGGAATCTTTACACATTTTGTTTTAAATGTGCTTAGGGTTAGTTTTACTTTCACATGTTTAATTATTCAAACAAGTGTTTGGTTCATTTTTTACTGTGCTTCATCTTTGTGTCTGAGAAACAAAGAAATAAACAAAAAAACCCTAGCCTGCATAGACTTATACAGTTCTGTGGTTGTACTGTCAGACTGCAAAATATATAAATTTGACTATGTTACATAGCAAGATATCAGTACTTTTCCACTTTCCCATCCAAAACCAACAATTCCACATATATAGAAAAAGGTGAAAATCTCAGTGGAGCAGTTGTCTAGCCATGTGCAGAGACCTGTGTGATTGCT